CGGTCTGGCGCTGGCGCGCTCGGGGGGGGGGGGGGGGGGGGGGGGGGGGGGGGGCTGATGAGGACCCCCGCTAGTGAATGTAGCCACTGCAGAATCGGAAGTCAGCTTGGGAAATACTTCATAATTGATATCAGATGGAAACAGCAGCAATATGGATGAGCATAACATTTTGTAGGTAACCACAGGCATGTGAAATCTGTTTTTTAATTGGGGGTGCAAGTCCTGTCATAGGGGGAAACAAAGAAGCTGCCATTTCTGTCCTGGTAGAACCATTGCTAAAAGTGCCAATCAGGGAAAGGTCAAAGGCCATTATCTGCATACTTGTTTCATCTGAGCGAGTCCATGAACTGAAGCCTGAGGATCAGCATTACAGCCAGGTGAGTAGTCGTGTGATCAGGGGGTCACCAATGGCTCTATATATACTTCTAAGTGGATTCCGTTAGGAAACGGTCTACCTGCCATCAATCTTCTATGGAGCACCCTGACTTCCCATATGTGACCCCCCAATATTTAAATTAGCCAGGCCTGACACACACCCGACCACTCCCCCGATATTAAAGTCCTCATTAGTTGTTGTGGCACTACTAGCTCCAGCATGAAATGCCACCTATCACACCATACTGGGACAAGTGAGCTGCCCAGTGCCCACCATGCCTGGCAGTCCAGGAGTACTAATCGATCCCCCCAGCACGTGTCACTCACCCGAACATTTCCCTTCGTCCTCTGCTTGTTTTTCCCGCCCATCCTCCGCTCTCGTCACCGGCAACAATTCTCCGGGCAGGCCACTCACCCGGCGTAAAAACCTTCGGTAAAATCGACAATTGATTATTTCACCTGAAGCCTGTTCATGACGTCCTCACAAAGCTCCGGGGCCGCTGCCATTCTTCCGCCCTCACCCGATCCATTACATAGGCGCTCGGTTCACAGGCAGGAACTCAGAGTTGAAACCGGGACTCGGCTGTGATTGGCCATTCTTGGGGCAGCACTGACTGTTGTGAGCTGGGTGTAATTGGAATGAGTGCAGCTCACTGTGAGCTCCAACACTCAGCTGTCACTGGCATCTTACACTGACCTGTAAGAATGTAAGAATTTCTAAGTATAACTAAAACCTACTTTTTTTCTTAATAAAGGTGAAAGCCCTTTTTTTATCCAAATCATTGGATTCAGGTGTTCTGTGAAATTTCCTTGCTACTAAATATTCCATAGTCACCTGTTAGTGGTATTATAACAAGTTGAAAGCAACTGGGAACAGCAACTCAGCCACGAAGTGGTAGGCAACGTAAAATGACAGAGCGGGGTCAGCTAATGCTGAAGTGTACAGTGCGCAGAAGTCGCCAACTGTCTGCAGAGTCAATAGCCACAGACCTCCAAACTTCATGTGGCCTTCAGATTGTCACAAGAACAGTGCGTAGAGAACTTCATGGAATGGGTTTCCATGGCCGAGCAGCTGCATCCGAGCCTTACATCACCAAGTGCAATGCAAAGCGTCGGATGCAGTGGTGTAAAGCACGCCGCCACTGGACTCTAGAGAAGTGGAGACGTGTTCTCTGGAGTGACGAATCACACTTCTCTGTCTGGCAATCCGATGGACATGTCTGGGTTTGGCGGTTGCCAGGAGAACGGTACTTGCCTGACTGCATTGTGCCAAGTGTAAAGTTTGGTGGAGGGGGATTACGGTGTAGGGTTGTTTTTCAGGGGTTGGGCTTGGCCCCTTAGTTCCAGTAAAGGGAACGCTTAAGGCATCAGCATGCCAAGACATTTTGGACAATGTCATGCTCCCAACTTTGTGGGAACAGTTTGGGGATGTCCCCTTCCTGTTCCAACATGACTGCGCACCAGTGCACAAAGCAAGGTCCATAAAGACATGGATGATGAGTTTGGGGTGGAGGAACTTGACTGGCCTGCAGAGTCCTGACCTCAACCCGATAGAACACCTTTGGGATGAATTAGAGTGGAGACTGCGAGCCAGGCCTTCTTGTCCAACATCAGTACCTGACCTCATCAATGCACTTCTGGAAGAATGGTCAAACATTCCCATAGACATGCTTCTAAACCTTCCCAGAAGAGTTGAAGCTGTTATAGCGGCAAAGGGTGGGCCAACTTAAAGGAGAACTATGGGGTTAAGTCTTTTCCCCAGTTCTCCTTAGGGTAACGGGAGGACACAAACTAGCGTCCTCCCGTCACCCTAGGCTCAGTATACAGCGAGCTTTAGCTCGCTGTATACTGAGACGCCGCAGCTGAAGCGGATCCCGACCATTGTGCCGCGATCCGCCCAGCTGCGTGACTGACAGCTGGCTCTGCCTATCTAGAGGTAGAGCCAGCTGTCCCTGCCCCCGTCCTTTCCGCCAGTCAGCGCTGGCGGATCGGAGCGGGGAATCCAGCCCCTCCCCTGTCACGGCAGAGAGCCGTGACAGGATCGAGAGGTGAGCGAACGCCGGTATATGTTCGCTCACCTCCCGATCTACTGAGCCGACCTGTGACAGTCTCATTGTCACAGGTCGGCTAGAACTATGAGGTGAGTGAAAAGCACTCTCCTCATAGTTCTCCTTTAATATTGAACCCTACGAACTAAGACTGGGATGCCATAAAAGTTAATGTGCGTGTGAAGGCAGGCGTCCCAATACTTCTGGTAATATAGTGTGTGTGTACATATATATATATATATATATTAAAACATGTTTTATTTGTTTTACCTAAAAAACATTATACAGGACATCCTCTGCACTCACAGTATCATGAAGCAGTACTATCGACAACTGGAAAAGGATCCAAAGAGAATCCTGCGGATGACTTGATTGGCCTGAAGATATGTGGAAAAGTTAAATCTAAAGAAACATAAAGCAATGTCAGGAGCACTCTGTTACAAACGGCTGACCACAGCATTTTGTAAGGTCTATTTCTGAGCACTGCACTATATACACCAGGAGTAGGCAACCTCAGCACTCCAGCTGTTGTGGAACTACAATTCCCATGAGGCATGATTTCCAGAGGTAGAAGCATGATGGGTTTTGTAGCTGCTCAGTTGCCTACCCCTGCTATACAGCACCATTACATGGGGGGACCCCTAGCAGCTGATCAGAGTAGTCCCTGAGGACCATCCCCTGCTGAGCCTGGGTACACATGGAGGGGTTTTCATTTTTATTGCTAAAAAAAGGCAGGTTCACTTCAAGGGAATGTAAGGTGGTTTTCCAATTTTCTTTTGTTTCCTTATTATGGTCAGGCCAAAAAATACATTCAATTATATTTTTTGGGGCAGGTAATATGAATAATTGCATATTATTATAAGTCTTCTGCCCAGCCAGTAGGTGGAGCTGTTCTCTCTTTTTTCACATATGCCAAAAAATTTTTTCCCTCAGCTCATCGTTTACAGAGCTCCAATGAGATATCAGAACAGCGATTACCTCCCCTTAGCGTGAGTCCAAAGTTTCTATTAGACAAAGGAGATGCAAAGCAAGCTGCTCTGCTGTGTTGTCATTAGATAACCCATAGTGCTCTGCGCACCCTTTAGCATATATTGTTTATTTATAAAAAAGATTTATATTCTCCAATATCAATATACAAACTAAGACTCCGCCCCCCCAAAAAAAATTTAAAATGTACCAAAAAAACACTCCCTTTAATAGCCCCATACTGTTGATACTGTCCGCGGTATCAACAGGGCCTTGTGCTGGTTTGATTTTGTTTTTAGTATAGTATACATAATGAGCTATTGTTCTGAAGGTGTCAGCAAGTAGAATTACTGACCAGGTTCCTCCGATACCTGCTACTGAGAGGATGAGACAATCTCATTCCAAACAAGGTTGCTCTGCATTTTTATCATGAGTCACATGACCATTCTGCCAAAAAATCCTGATCACTGGTCTGCACTTTCCACAACTCCCTATTGGGCACTGAGACTTGTTCTTCAGGCAGTCATCAACTTCTAAAAGTTGAGATTTGCATATAAGTACCCCAGGCTTTGTGTCTTCCATGCCAGGCTGTGTCTTCCATGTTACCGTGCAGCAAAAGTCAAATGTAATTTAACAAGAATAAGAACATTTTAAAACCATAAACACATTTATTGTCATAAGAAAGTGGCCAGAGTTTAAAGTGGAAATATTGTTCCCATCCGGAAGTCATTCATGATCCTAACTGCTATCGTCCCTCAATCCCAAAGTACATGGGGAAGACATCCGAGCATCCTTTTTCCTGGAGGAAATGATAGAGCTGACCCAGATCCATGTGGTTGCCCCGGGCTCCGTGTGCATCAAACGCCATCTCCTTAAGAGGAGGAAATTTACAATGCTTCTGGATGTTTATGTGCACATCTGAAGAGGAACAAGACAAAGGGACGTCTTCTCTGTGGCGGATTAATATCCTCTTCCACGTCAGTTTCCTTATTCTGAGGAAGTAAAAAAGAACATAGCACGTGGATATTGGTCTTTGTAGGCCATACTGGGCCTTATTTATCAATACTGGGAGAATCTGATTGGTTTCTATTCTATACAAAATTAAAGTACTATATATCATCATAATACATTAATACAGTGGTATAGGTTAGCACTTCTTCCTTGGAGCACTGGGGGAGCAAATACCAGTCAGGACACTATCTGCAAGGAGTTTGCATGTTCTCCCTGTGCTTGTGTGGGTTTCCTCCAGGAACTCCAGTTTCCTCCCACACTCCAAAGACATGCTGGAAGGTTACTTGTCTTCTGTCTAAATTGGCCCTTGTATGTATTTATGTGAATTAGGTACATTAGATTGTAAGCGCCTTGAGGGCAGGGACTGATGTGAATGTGCAACTAGGTGAAGCTCTGCATACATTGTCGGCACTATATAAATACCTGTAATGTAAATAAAATTATATATATATATATATATATATAAAAGTCTGGGTATTTACCATATTTAAAGCAGAGAGTGAGGTCTTATATATGTTGTATAACATGAGCAGTGTGTGCTATCATTCTAAAATCCTTGTTTCTTTGTACAACAATTGCATATTGCATATATACAATTGCATATATACATGGGGCAGCCATAGTTCCTTTTATATATACAGGCTGTACTTTTCAACAGTAGCTTCTCTCTTCGAAGTTTTATATAGATCTATACAGAGGAAATATATCTATATACATACATACATACATACATACACACTATATCTATACTAAACTATTGTTTGTCTCAGAAATATATATTAAGTAAAAAAAAAAAGATCAAATCAAAGTAAAAAAAAAAGATACATACAGAGAAAGAAGAAGCAGGACGAACTCATAACATTCACACCAAGTGCCCATATGGGTTCCCAATGAATACATGGACCGATTCCCTAAAATGACCTAGGTTATGTTTGTGCTTAACAACAGCTTTGGAGGGATTTAGGGTTATTGGATATGTAGAGCATGTATGTCAACATTCCTGAAGGCCTGGGGGGAACCCATGATCGTAGTAGAAAGAAACCTAAAAGTTATTGTGAGTAATGAAACAATTCATTCGTAAGAGAAAGTAAAGTGCAGGAACTCCAGGGTGGGACGAGATAGAGAAGGAAAAGAGTGGATAAAAAAAGAAAAAGACAATCTGATTTATGAATGTGAGTGAGAGTACTTGGAATGCTAAAGTGGTCTATCAAGCAATAGTTTTCTATATGTAAGGTCTAAAGTCATACTGCCTATGCCTTGCAGGATGCTGTCACAAGTGACCTCTAGATCCACAATGCTTTCATTTAGCTACAGTCCAATGTGTAAAACATTCAGTGGGTTGAAGTGTATGTCAAGCCAAGCAGAGTAAGGGAAGGCTAGAACACCCAGTCAGTTATTTTGGGGGGGATTTCGGTTGGAGCTTGAAGTTGGATATACAAGTGTCTGTTTTATTATTCAACCGGCGCTTACGAGATGGATGATTCCCCGCTGTTTGCATTATATTCTAACAGAAGCCACTGGCCGCTGTCAGAATACGCACACAGAGCTAGCAGCTAATCGGCTGCCAGCTCCGTTCAGGCAAGAATTTTCCAAGCTGCTTCTTCGATTAACTGATCGAGGGATGCCAGGCAAAAGGATGCCGACAGCAGCACCCACTGTGCAAATTTTGGCCAGTTCATCAGGAACTAGCCGAAATGTGTACCCTACTTTCGTTTTTCAAATACAAAAGCTGTGTGCTAATGGTGAATTATGGCAATAGAGAGGGGTTACTTTGTATTTGATGATGATATATAAGCATGGGGAGGGAGAGGGAGAGGGAGAGAGAAATTAGTTAAATGGGCCTTTATCACTGTCTGCCTCTGTTGTGTATAAATATGTATAATGAGTCATGAACCTCCGACTACCTACCTGGACCAAAACTCTTCACATGACTCTTGTGCTCCCTCTACACACACAATGCCAGGTTTCCCTGGCATACTAAACCCTGAAAGCCCCAACTCTTCTGACCATTCCATGATATATTTTCGCTTTTGTTTGTTGTATATGTGATGACTGTAGATCCATAACCTAGTGAAAACGCTGTCTTCAGGAGTCACCAAAGTTCCATCCTGATGATCAGTGGGGGACACGAGGTTCAGGTAGGTAGAAGCATTGTCTTTAACCCATTCCACAGCACTTAAAATACACACATCTCCATTACAATTGTTTTTTAGATATGTGTTCAGATCTGAATGAAGCGGAGTCTGCTGTGACCGCACCAGGGATGGCGATCTATAAATAAAAACAAAAAGAACAGTTTAATGTAGAGTAGAAGAAGTCTGTTAAAGAAGACCTGAATTCAAACAAGTGAAGATTCACTATCTTTTGGGGAACATCTAGAAACATTGGGGGGAATTTATCACAGTTTTAGCCTCTTAGAGCATTTTTTTAAATGTGCAAATCTGTCTTTTAACATGTGCCCCTGTTTTCTTCAGAGCTTGCACTACTTTTCCAACTGCATGCTTTTTGCACCGGTTTTCATCTGCACTTGTTCTGCGGCTGTCTGAGACTGGAGCATCACCTAAGAAAACCATTGCAACTTAAGAAGTCCCCATGACCACTTCTTCAAGATGCGACAGTTAAACTTTTTGCCTGAAGTTACAAGTCTACTTTCCTGGAGACTATGAAACCTCATTTATCAACAACATTACACTAGCATCATAAATCTGCTGCAAATATATTCTGTGCAAGTTCAAACACTTGCAATTGCTTTGATAAATTGCCCCCGCTGTGTTTAATCGATCCCTTGGAAAAAAAAACGACCTTTTGACTTCTATAGCAATACACTTCCTGTGCCTTAAAGGAGAACTATGGGGTAAGGGTTTTTCCCCATAGTTCTCCTCAGGGTCACGGGAGGACATATACTAACCTCCTCCCGTGACCCAAAGCTCAGTATAACGCGAGGTACAGCTCGCGGTATACTTAGACCGCCGCAGCCGGGACGGATCCCAACATTACAGTCGAGATCCACCCAGCTGCGTGATTGACAGCTGGCACTGCCTATCTAGAAGCAGAGCCAGCTGTACACGCCCCCTCCCCCATTTGTTCCTCCAGTCAGCGCTGGAGGATCGGAGAGAGGAAGGGGGAATCCCTGCAGGGAGCCGTGAGTGACAGTCACGGCTCCCTGCAGGGACGCGATCGAGAAGTGAGCGAGCAACGGTATGTGTTCACTCACCTCCTGATCCATTGAGCCGACGTGTGAGAGTTTCATTGTCACACGTCGGCTCTAACTATGAGGTTGAGTGAAAATCACTCACTTCATAGTTCTCCCTTAAAGGAGACCTATGAGATGAGTGAAAATCACTCACCTCATAGTTTTCCTTTAAAGGAGAACTATGAGGTGAGTGATTTCCACTCACCTCAAAGTTCTAGCCGACCTGTGACAAAGAGACTATCACAGGTCGGCTCAGTAGATCGGGAGGTGAGCGAACACATACCAGGTTCGCTCACCTCTCGATCCTGTCACGGCTCTCTGCCGTGACAGGGGGAGGGGCTGGATTCCCCTCTCCCCGCTCCGATCTGCCAGCGCTGACTGGCGGAACGGACGGGGGAGGGTACAGCTGGCTCTGCCTCTAGATAGGCAGAGCCAGCTGTCACTCACGCAGCTGGGCGGATCCCGTCATCTACGTTGGGATCCGCTCCAGCTGCGGCATCTCAGTATACCGCAAGCTGTAGCTCGCGGTATACTGATCTTAGGGTAACGGGAGGACGCTAGTTTGTGTCCTCCCGTTGCCCTAAGGAGAACTATGGGGAAAAACACTGACCCCATAGTTCTCCTTTAAGTCTAACAACTGTATGTCTACAAAGTAAGAAAATCTAAGGCATTGCTTTCACTGCTGCTGACTGCTAGTCTCACCAGATTTGGTGATGTCACTACTATACTGCTCACTCTTCCTTATGCTGGAGACAAAGCTGTACCTGAGGACCTGCCGTGCAAGGACCTTCTTGTTTCTGCTTATTTCATTCTATGAATCACTGCTTTCTGCATCTCTCCTGCCGATTCCTGATTATTCCACAACTAGTCATCAGATCACAAGCCATGAAGGAATGGGGCAGCTCTAATATGAAGAAGCAAAGCCCTGCTTTGCAAAGAAACTCAAACAATATAATTTAGAACCCTATGCTGGTCCACCTTGAAGTAATGGAGCATGTGGCAAATAATATGCAGCAGCAGCCATCCAAGAGTGCAAAGATGAGAGGGAAAGGAGACAGAGAGACAAGAGTGAGAAGGGGGTAAAAAGGAAGAGGGAAAAGAAATGGAGGTAAGTGAAGAAGGAAGGAGGTTTGGGGAAAAAAAGGGGGGGGGGCTTGGCAGAGAGAGTGCGGTGATGGAAATCAACTATGAAAGAGGAAGAAGATAATTTTTTATAGATAAATGGAAAACAGGACAGAAAGTGCCTAAGAGAAGGTGCGGTAGAGTAAGAATGTACACTATATTGATTACATACTTGTACATAACACAGAATACATGTATGACAACAATACCTGACTACGATTTCTGGTGGGACATTTGGGTAGTGAGGTGGATATGAACAATGTAGGGAAAGCACATCCTGCAAAAAAAAAAAAAAAGAGAAGGCCTATGTGAAATGAGCACCAACACATAACTAATAGAACACCTAAGTAGGAGAGGAGGTGAGGTGATAACAAATGAATGTACTTTTAGCCCGTTGGGGCAGAGGGGCACCTTTAGGTTGTCTGGAGAGAACCCTGTTAAAGGACGGTAAGCAGAAGAGGAAGAGAAAAAAAAAA